GCAGAAATCCATCACCTTGCTTCCCAGTTTCCAGGCAACCGTGCAGGATTACAACAAGTCACATGATATCACTGCTGCCAGGGAGAAGGGAAAAATGGAAAACTGTGCTATCTTGAGAAAGGGGCTGGGTATAAGCAGAGGACTTTGGATTCTCTTCCAGAAATATTATCAACAAGTAGTCAAAGAGCGGGAGGCTTGAGAGGGCTCCTGGCCTCTCAGCACTTGGCCCCGCCTCCTGCTGGATGGGAACTGTACCACCAGATCGGAAGTCCAGGGGTAAGGGGAAAGGGCAGGGGTGAGTTGGAGGGGGAGCCATTGGCCCAAGGTGACCAAGCACCTGTTCTGGAAATCAGGCTCACAGGGGGGTCATTAATGAGAAGATCTAAACCAAAGTAGGCCCCATGTCTGTGTCCCAGTCACCCTTTCCTCCTTCCTGCTGCTGGAGTCCTGGGATCATGAGGGAGCAGAAAGAGAGTCTTTGGTTAAAGCCAAGCCTGCGATGATTCGGGCTGGCTGGGGGGCAGTGAAGGAAACCACCCATGAAGACCAAGTTTCCACTTCCTTTTTTAAAGTCTCCTCTTTCTGATCATTGTTTATTATGATTTGGATGTTTTAATTTTTCCATCTCCCCTCCCCCACATTGTGTGTGTGTGTGTGTGTATGTACACATGTGTGCAAGCACACACACATGCACGCTGCTGTTGCTGCTGTTGTTTGTATTGTAGACACTTCTGTGGCAATTTATTCCCCTCAGTTTACACTTCTGTTCCTGTAATAACACCCTCTGTGGCCTAAAGCCTCCCTGGAACCACAGGGACAGCTTTGCTCTGGGCTCTCATGGGGTCGCAGAAGGGGGTGGGTGTGTCCTTGGCCATGGGTCCCACATACCAGCATTCCGGAAGGCCAGGCTCTTAGATGGAGCCGACCTGAAGTGGACTGGCTTCCAGTTTCCTCACACCCAGCAGTTGTCCCAAGGCAAAGATGAGTCATCCTGCCACACTCTTAGCACCGGCCCTCCCAGTTTGCCCCGAGGTGGCCATATTTCATAGCCTGGACTGTGGGCTTGCTGCCAGCCAGGCTGCCTGGGGAGGTGAGCCTGGAGTGGAAGAACATGGACACAGGCAGGCAGGTATTGGGAAGTGAGATGCCACCCACCTCACCATTCAGGTGAGGCAGCCTGAGCTGCAAAGGACTGCAGTCCCTTCTCACAGCCCTAAAGACTGGGGGGGGGGGGGACACAGCCCCTGTAGAGCACAGCCCCTGCTGCTTGCCCTTTCCCAGTAGATCCTGGGTGTTGTGACTTCCTTCTCTTTTTCCTACGGAAACCTAAATAGACACATCTTTTGCATGTTTCAACGTCCTGAAGGCCTAATGAGAGGCTTAGAGGCACCTCTGCATTGAAAAGCGTCGTCATCCATTAAGTTCAACAAGCAAGTAAATAAAGAAAAAGTGAGTAGAGCTGGAGACCCCAAGCTTTCGGAAAGCTTTTTTTGCTTATGGAAACAATCTGACTGACACCTTTAGGTTTCTCAGGAGGAGGAAACGTTGATAGCGTATCATATGAGGGGCCATAACGTGGCAAGAGATGTTCTAGGCTTGTGGCATATTTGCTTGTTACGTTAAGTGAGAAGAGAAGGTTGTGCTTCATAAACATGACTGGCGGCATGTGGGGAGGCGACATTCAAAGGAGAGGGTGGGTGAGGAGTTTTCAATACATTAAAACCGCGGATCAACGAGAAAAAAGACATTCCATGTCTGTTTAATATGTAACATATGGGAGGATGGGGGATGCTTGCAATAGCGTGTTGGGAATGCAGTTGTTACAGATGTTCTCTACGGGCACAGAAAGGGGTCTGGTGGCCAGGTTGGGAATGTGTAGTTAAATCTTCAGGGAACTGAGGCATGCTCCCTAACGAGGTGTCAGAGCCCATCTGCAGCACTCAGGCCTGTGCTGGCAGATTCACACCCCGGTCTTCACACGTCCACAAACGCCCCGTGGTCCTAACCCACACTTAGATGCACGCGCGCAAGGGCACACACATGCCTTCTGCGTGCAGGACGGCCTTCGCCCTCTGACACTCGGCCGGTGGATCCCAGGACTGGAACTCCCTTCATAAGAGCCCCAAATCCCAGGGAAACTTGACTAGAGGTGCAAAAGTGTTTGATGATAGAAAGAAAGAATTAAAAAAAAAAAAAAAAAAGAAATCTGCTTGCTTGCAGTTCTGGCGGTGGCCTGAACGCTACAATAAACTGTTGCTTTGCAGAGCTGGGGAGGGCGAGGGCAGGCAGTGGGGGGGGGGGGGGGCGGGGGGAGGAAGCCGGGCAGAGAGGCCGGAGAACTTGAAAGACGGAGTTGGAACTCCGGCTGAGAGCGCCCCCGGGGGCGGCGGGGGCCTGGCAGGGGGCGGAGGAGGACGCGGGAGGGGTTGAGGCCGGAGCCGGGCCGGGCGGGGGCGGGCCGGGCGGGCGGGCGGGCGGGCGGGCGCGGGGCGCTGTCCCTTTAAGGCGGGCGGCGCGGGCCGGCCGAGCGCGGCGGTGATTGGCGCGGCGGGATCACTGGCTGCCGAGCCCGGCCCGGGGGAGGCGGCTGGAGCCGGCTGCGCTTTGATAAGGTCCTGGCAACTCGGTAACAACCCGAGCGCCGGGAAATAAAAATAGCCGCTCGCAGCCATGGACCTGGGGGCCGCCCGGCGTCCCAGGCGCCCGTCTCCCCCGCCGGGAGCCCTGCAGTAGAAGGTGGGGGTGCGGGCGCGGCCCCCGCCGAGCCGCTTCAAAGGAAGCGCCCCCCGGGCCGGGGCCGGGGCCGGGGCCGGGGCCGGGGCCGGGGCCGGGGTCGCGCCGGGCCGCGCCGCGGGCGCCGGGGGCGGGCGGGGGTCCGCGCGCGCGGCGGGGCGGGGCGGGGCGGGGCGGGGCGCGGCGAGCCCACGGCCCCGGGGAGGGGCGGCGGGGGCGCGGGGGGCGGCCCGGGGCGCGGCCGGCGCGTACCTCCCTTTCAGGACCGTGCGCTCGGCTCGCGCCTTTGAAGTGCACAGTTAAATCCACGGCGCAGTTTTTGTTGGAAGCGCCCGGAGGACATTTGGTGCGCGGAGCGACTGCTGGAAACCGGACCCGCGCGGAAAGCCGGGCCGGGCGGGGGCCGGAGGGGCCGGAGGGGCCGGGGGCGGCCGCGGCGGGGGCGGGGGCGGGGGCGGGGGCGGAGGCCCACTCGGGTCTTTTGCATAAAAGGGGCGGCGGAGCGCGCCGCTCGCCCTCCCTCCCCGAGGCTCCCGCTCCAGCCCCGGGGCCGTCGTCTCCCCGCGCCGCCCTCCCCCGCCGCGCGCCTCCCGATGCTCCCCGACGCCGCGACCGGCCCGGGGGGGCCCGGGGCTGCCGCCGCCGCCAGCCGAGCCGGGGGCCGGGGCCGGGGCCCTGCCCGGGGCGCCTGCGAGGTCTCGCCGCGGAGCGCGCGCGCCGATGCCTGGTGAGTGCGAGGCCGCGGCGGCCGGGCGGCCCGCGCGCTTTGATGTGCCGGCGGCCTTTGAAGTTGGCGGCCCGGCTATTTCGGGGCGCTCTCCGGGCGGGCGCGGCGCCCGGCGCTCCGGGGGGCTTGGCCCGGCCGCCCCGCGCGCCCGGAGCCCGGGGCCCCCCTCGGCGGCGGGGCGGCGGGGGCGGCGGCGGAGAGACTTCTGCGAGTGGCGGCGGCGGGGGCGGCGGGGGCAGGTCTCGTCCCCCCGCCCCCCACCCCCACCCCGGGGTCGCGACGCTGCGGTCCTCACGGACGCGAGCCGGGGCGCGAGTGCGCGGGAGAGCTGCGGAAGGTGGGATGAAAGGGTGGCGGCGCCCCCCGCGCAGGGCGCCCTCCCCGCCCCTCCCCCGCCCCCTCCTCCCCTCCCGCCTCTCGGCCCCCCTCCCCGCCTCCCCGCCTCCCCGCCTCCCCCCTCCCCTCTCCCCTCCCGGCAGCCGGGCCGCGCTTAGGGGCCCCGAGCGCCGGGCCAGGCTCAGTCTGCGCGCAGGAGCGGCCCGAGCCCGGGGCGCCCGCGCCGCCCGCGTCCTCGTCCCCGCCCGGGCCCCGCGCCCCGCGCCCCGCGCCCCGCGCCCCGGCCCCCTGTGCGGAGAGGCAGGGACTCCGCGCGTCGCCATTGCTGGACCGGGCTGCCGCTTCCCGAGCCTTTGCTGCGGGCGCCTCTGCGAGCGGCGGCGCCGGGGACCGGCCCGGGCTCGGGGTGCGGCGGGCGCCCCGGGGGCTGCGGCTCCCCGCTCGGCGGCCCGAGAGGCCCCCGCCCCGGGGCTCTGGGCGCGTTCGGTTGGATTTGGGCCGGGGGGGCGGGCCGGGGGGGTCGGCGGAGATGAGAGCCCGGCCTCGGGCCGCCTTCGTCTTGCAGGTAACGGGGCCGCCCCACCTTCCCTCCGCCCGCCCGCGCGGCCCCGCACCCCGCACCCCGCACCCCGCCGGCTGCGGGGTCGCGCCCCATCCCCCGGCCCGCCCCTGCCCCGCCCGGGTCGGCTCCTTCCCGTGCTGGGGAGAGCGCCTTGTTTGTTGGTTAGAGATGAGACTTTTTCTCTTTTGGAGAAAAGACGGGATTGAGGTCAGTAGAGTTTGGGATTCTTGGCACAGGCAGTGGTAGCGTGAGACGGTTTCTGATCCGGTTCTGCAGGGCTCGCGGCCCCGGGAGGGGAGCTGGGGGCGGGGGCGGGGGCGGGGGCCGCGGGGGCGGCGGGTCCCGAGGCTGCTCAGCCTCTCTCGCAAAGTTTGAAGATCAAAGTCTTGTCTGAGCGGGTGGATCTCAGGTTCTGGGGGACGGGGGCCGCCGCGGTGTAGACTGGAGCCGGATTCTTGGCGGGAGGCGGGGGCGCAGCGGACATTTACATCTGGGTGGAGGGGGGCGCCCAGCTGGGAGCCCATTGCGCCCCTCGCTGGGCGGGCTTCGCGCTCGGCCGCGGATCTTCTGAATTTTTAAGGGGTGGGAAGGGGGAGCGCCGAGGGAAAGGGTGGGTGGGGGGAATGGGAACCAGATGCCGGGGAAGGGCACGTTTGGAGCTCGATTTATCTGTGCGGAGCGCCGAGTGGGGAAATTTACCGAAATTGGTTTCACCTGCACACCGCCCGGCGGCTGCGAGTGCGCGTCTCCGGAGTTGATGCTGTCGTGGGGGAGGGGAGGGGAGGGGAGGGGAGCGGAGGGGAGCGGAGCGGGGCCGAGCGGGGCCGAGCGGGGCCCAGGCTGCCCTGCGTGCGCCCCGGCCGACCGGGTTTTGGAAGGTTCAGTCTTACACCTTCCAAACCCCTCCGCCCCCACCTCCCACCCTCCGCGCTCCCCGCTCACCTTCCCCGCCCCTCCCCCCCCCAATTGTGCAGGGAGCTCAGATTTCGCCTTTGAAAAAGCAGCGTCTGATACTTTAGATGAGCACCTCGCAGATAGCTGGGTTGCTTGATTTGAATTTGAGGAGTTGAAAAGCCTGTTTACTTTCTTGCTTTGATGTTGGGTAGATCTGGTTTTGATTAGATCAATACCCCTTTCTCTCTCCCTGCCTCCCCCCTTCCTTTTCTTTCCAGAAAGGAGGCTCAGATGAGCCCCTGCTGACTTGAGAGAGAAAGAGAGACCACGCTGATTGCTGAGAGGAACTGGGGGAAGGGAACAAACAAACTCCGTCGCGAAGAACTCCCTCACCATGAGCAGTGCTGTGTTGGTGACTTGCCTCCCAGACCCCAGCAGCAGCTTCCACGAGGATGCCCCCCGACCCCCGGTTCCGGGGGAGGAAGGGGAGACCCCGCCGTGCCAGCCCGGGCTAGGAAAGGGCCAGGTCACCAAACCCATGCCCGTGTCCTCCAACGCCAGGCGCAATGAGGATGGGTTGGGGGAGCCTGAGGGGCGGGCGTCCCCGGATTCCCCTCTGACCCGGTGGACCAAGTCCTTGCACTCCTTGTTGGGCGATCAAGATGGTGCTTATCTCTTCCGCACTTTCCTGGAGAGGGACAAATGCGTGGATACCTTAGACTTCTGGTTTGCCTGCAACGGATTCAGGCAGATGAACCTGAAGGATACCAAAACTTTACGAGTAGCCAAAGCGATCTACAAAAGGTACATCGAGAACAACAGCATTGTCTCCAAGCAGCTGAAGCCTGCCACCAAAACCTACATAAGAGATGGCATCAAGAAGCAGCAGATTGATTCCATCATGTTTGACCAGGCACAGACTGAGATCCAGTCGGTGATGGAAGAAAATGCCTACCAGATGTTTTTGACTTCTGATATATACCTCGAATATGTGAGGAGTGGGGGAGAAAACACAGCTTACATGAGTAACGGGGGACTGGGCAGCCTCAAGGTCGTGTGTGGCTATCTCCCCACCTTGAATGAGGAAGAGGAGTGGGCTTGTGCGGACTTCAAGTGCAAACTGTCACCCACCGTGGTTGGCCTGTCCAGCAAAACCCTGAGGGCGACGGCGAATGTGAGGTCCACGGAGACTGTCGAAAATGGATACAGGTAAGACGTGGTCCGTCTGGGGAGGGGGCCGGGTGGGGTGGGGGTAGGGCTGGAAGACGGGGTGGACTCGGCAGATGTTTCGAGTTAAGTGGGGGGGCAGATGGTGGGATGGATGTGCTGCAGAGGCTGACAAAGGTCTGTTGAGAGCTAGGACCGCTGGCCACGGAGCCTTTGATCTTGGCTTGTCGTTGTTTAAAGTGGGGAGAAGTGCTGCAGACACAGCTAAATCTAAACCTGCAGTCTTCTAGGACTCACTTCAAACAGTGGCAAGCAGTATTCATTAATGCGGGTTACTTATTAGCCTGGACCAGTCTTAGAAGGCTGAGAGAGAGAGAGAGAGAGAGAGAGAGGATAGCAGCTTTTGATGCCTCTGAGTCACCAAATACACTAAGCACCGGTTTTGGAGGGGTCATTCACCACTAATCAGGAGAGAGGAATTAATGTGGCTGGGGAGGCAGCTGGGTTGTGGAGGCAGGAATATCGTGCGCACCCACTGGACGTGGGGGTAAGTGGGATCTTTTGAACTCCTCTGTTAAGAGCCAGCAATTGGCCTAACCCCTGAGGTGGTGGTTCTCTTTGTAGAATTCCGTATTTACCCGGCACGGAACCCTCCTAACTGGGGGAGGTCCTGTGACTTTCCTGAATATAGGACCTCTGAGCTTTAGGCTCTGCTGTTATATTAATCTAGGTTTTAAATGCTTGCAGCCCGGGGTCAGACCTCCATGGACGGTTGTGCGGCTTAGTGCTGGCGGAGAAGAGTCGTGTACAGAGGGGACGGGGCCCTGGAGTACTTTCCCTTTTTGAGGCTTCAAAGATCAACAGCCCTTTACGGAATAGCCAAGCCTTAAGATTCTTGACCTTTGGCAGCAATTTCAGACCTCCTGCTAGAATGAGTTTTTCAGTGTCTCTCCCTCCCCCTCCAGATACCCAAAATGAAGCTCTCTTTTCTAGATCCTTGTGGTTGGCATGCAGTGGAGAGGGGGGCACTTGATTGCAGTCTGCATGGCTTAGCTTGCTTCCCCTCCTGTGTTTTCCTTCGCGTGTTTGGGACCGGGGATGCACTCTGATGGCTGCCTCTGTGGAGATTGCCGTCTCCCTGTAGGGTCGGGTGTCCAGTGTCCGGCAGTAGCTGGAGGGGCAGGGGAGTCCGGTCTGAGCCTGATCGAGGGGTGATTGAGAGGTGATTGAGAGGCGGCGGAGAGAGTGGACTTTTTCACCGGGAGCGAAGAGCTTAGGCTCTGACCACCAGAGGGCGCCCCTGCAGCCCCCGGAGCTGCTTTACCCGATCTCAGACATCTGGTCTACACCTAAGTGGAACTGGATTGGCTTTTGAGAGGAAGCACAGGATCACGTGAAAGGAGTTGTTTCAGCATCTTTAAGCTGATGGTTTCAGATTGTTCTGGGGAAGATACTAGATCGGGCCTCTGTGCCTGGGCAGTCACCCGGCGGCACCTGCTGCTACCGCCCCGGTGCATTAGATGCACATTCTGGTAAATCTGTGCTGGTCTCCTTGCTCTCCGGTTTTGGCAGCTGTAGCGGAGACTACTTAAGTCCTGTGGTAAGGCTGCTTCTCCAGGGGCTTTCCGACAGTGGAGCTTCTGTGTCTTCCCAGCATCAGGACCTGAGCGTCCCTTCTGTAAACAGCACTGCGTGTGGTTTGTGTGTGGCTTGGGATGGCACCCGGAAGAAAGGGCTCCCAGGCAGGACCCTGCTGCGACCCTTCCCCTTTGTGGGTGGGCAGGAGAGAACCAGCCTGTGAGTGCCCCTCCTTCCAAAGCCCTCCCCTGGGATTTTACCAGGATTAAACTTTCTAGAGATGACTCTTGTGAAGCTCTTGAGATCCTGGGAGCAGGGACCAAAGATCCCTTGTGTTTCCAGTGCTTGCCTTCCTGGTTGTGAGCTGTGGGCACGTTTGATCTATAGCTAACACCTTTTCACCTGGCCCTGGAGTTGCTACGCTCTGTGTGTGTTTCCTCCCACTGTTGGGTTGAAATGAAGTGTTTTACCTGGACTCCCTGAAGCCCACACGTCTTAACTGAGCATCGTCACAGATAACTTAAGACCTATCCCATTTCATTTTGACACGCAAGCTCCTCAGGTGTACCTATGGTGTATTGGGAGGTGTCCCAAATTATTCCAAGGCCCAGCTTCCAGCCCTGTCCACTCATCACTACCTGAGGGGTTCCCAGATGTCCTTCTGTACAATGATAGGGCACCATCCCTTCTGTTCGTGTCCTACTTTGCTCTTGGGATCAAGATAATAGACCAGAAAGCCCTTTGTAAAGGGAAATGTTCCCAACTCTCGCAAAGCATTAGCATTCGAATCATTGAATCATGATAAGGCGTGGATTTGTGAAAAGGGTGACCAGGTTAGGATACCGTTTTCAGAGAGTGACTCTGGGCTTCTAGATTCACTGTAAAGTTGGAGAGTAGCCCCCACCCCCAGCCCCACCCCCCTGAAGTCTGTCTTTTCAGCCAGTTCTTGGGATGTAGGGATCCTGTCCAACTCTTCCAAGCCCGCCTCCCCTTCCAGTAGGCTCACTCATCAAGCAAGGTACGTGGCAGATGGGATGGGCTTCAGAAGCCAGTGACATGAATGAAACCGACAACTCGAGCCCTGCTGAGGGGTCCGCCTGCCTTCGCTGTTGAGGAGCAGCCTTGGCAGCTGGGTGCCAAGAGCGCTGGCTCGTCTTCCAAGCCCTGTGTTTACCTTGGTCACTCAGCGGAGGCCTCCTTTCTAATGACTTGTTTGTGTCCTCACTGATTTGGTGTCAGGTTTAATATAAATAGTTGGAACGGAAGAGCAGGAATTATTCTCGGAGGGAAGGACTCTGGTTTGTGAGTGCTTGAGTGGGCTGCCTGGGCTTTTGATGGTCTCTATAAATAACTTTGAGCAAGAGTGACCGGTTAGTGGAAGCACGTGTAAAAGCCCCACTGCGCAGACACTCGCACGAGCGCGCGCACACACACACACACACACACACACACACACACAGTGTTGAGGTGTGTGTAGAGGGGCTGTGGGATTAGGAGCTCAGCCCAGCATTTATTTTGGGAAGGACACAGTGTTGGGCTCACAGAGTGCTCCCTTGTGTCCTTCCCCGTCTGCCCTGGCGCTGGGGCCATCCTGTACCAGCCGGGTCTCCTCTGTCTCCCATTGGACCCTCTCCTCTGGCCTCCCTTAAAAATAAGTCAGGCCTAGCAGATGGCCCTCTGCTGGCTCCAAGTGCTTCCTGTTCTCTGAAAGAACTCGCTGATGAGGCCCGTTTTTGTGCGAAGCCACTGGAATCAAGCTTGGCTTCAATTATCAAAGAAAATGATGCCATAGGAAAGATATGCTGGAAGCAGTAGCCTCCAGTTAGAGGCTGGAATCTCTGATGAAGGCAGTTTGCTGAGACACACTTGTAGAAGTCCACCTCTCCGCAATGGCTCAGCCACCCAGTGCTAGGCCCCTCCCTGAGCACCCCCTGCTCATGCCTTAGCAAACTGCCCTTTGGGCGGTGACTTGGTGAGTACATGGTCAGAGGGCTTGTGGAAAGCCCTAAACGCACAGCTTTCGAAGCAAATACTTTTTTAAGTTGCATTGTCTTGAGAGGAGACCCAGAAGGAGGCCCCAAAGGTCAGGTCTGTTGTGACGCCTGGATGGCAGCTTTGCCCTGCTGTATGGGGAGGGGGCAGGGGCCACAGCACTGGCATCCAGATAAGAGATAAGAGTAAGCTGGGGAGAAAAAAAAAAAAGAGCCAGCAAACAATTTCCCTTCCCTTAAGGTCCCAGGAGACTGTGCTACCTGACAGCTGAAAGCCCTGTGCACACGCAAGCTTCGAGCGGAGGTCCGTGGATGCACTCCCAGGGCAAAATCTGTACCATAGGCCTCCGCTCTCTGTAGGAATTTAAAATCCTTGCAGTAACTGTGAGAGCACGGCAGCCCCGAGAAATAATCAAAGCATCTGGGTACAATTACTGTAGCGTGGTTGAGTTTCTTTCTTTCTTTCTTTCTTTCTTTCTTTCTTTCTTTCTTTCTTTCTTTCTTTCTTTCTTTCTTTCTTTCGATTCAAGAAAAGAACTCTAATCCACTTTCTTAAAATCATGTGGTGATTTTGACAACATTCTGGGTTCTTAAAAATTAAGTTTCTGTCCTCCACAACCCTGCTCCTTCCTTGGCTTCGTATCCCCCCCATCCCCCCCCCCCCCCCCCCGTTATGATTGCAGGAAAATCCAAATACTTTCCTGCAGTCAAGTGAGCTAAGGGCAGTATAGTCCATGTTTAATTACTGGTCGCACAGGAGCCCTCTATTTTGGAAGCCAGGGAGGACAAGTTTATTTTGGGATCCGTGTGTTTTGTGATCTACTCCAAGGAGTGCAAAGCCGTGAGCACACATGGGATTTGGGGAGGGAGGAGGGATTTCTATTGAGTCATTTGCTCCCTGTAGAGGTTGACTTCAGGACATTGTCACTGAGTTAATGCCACAGGGACAGAGCAGTGGAGTCATAGAGAGTGTCTGAATGCTCTTTAGGGCTCTGTGGGCTCTTTTGATCTTACACTAATGCCTCTTGGACTAAAATACTTTTCAGCAACCCCATCAGATGGCCCTCAGGTCTTTTAAGGAAGTTCAGCAAAGGCTAGAATTTCTGCCATGCTCTGCCAGCTGGGGAGACGCAGGCAGAGAAGACCGATCTGGTCCTTGCCCTCATGGAGCTTACAGTCTGGTTGCACAGGACAGGCATTCATCGTGTAGACACACCAGCGCCGCGTGACTACGAGTCATGCTAAATTCCGCAGAAGAAAGAAGGGCCACGACAGCTCTGTTCTCCTTGGCAGCTGGTTTTGGGGGGTATTACTAATATCTCCGCAAATCACAGCGCCCTGGTTCTTCAGAGAACATAAGAACTTCGTGCTGATGGCCACGTTTGAACCATGTATTTTTTAGGTGAGGACCCTATGTCCATGGAGGCGGTGACTCGACTGTGGTCACCTGCTGGCTGGGAGCCAAGTCAGCACCAGCTCTCGGCCTCTCGATTCCCGTTCCCTATCCAGGGCTTAGAGCACTTTCCTACCACTGGGTTTCTGAAAGCTAGGAGGGGACCCTGAAGAGGTGTCCTCGTCTGCCCTGCTTTGAGGCAGTAGCCCTGTCCAAGCACTTGAGAGAGGAGGGAGCTTTGGATTGTTTTAAGCACTTGGATGAGTCCATAGCCCCATACACTCCAGGGCTCTAGTTGGACCAAGTAGGAAGTGCTTTCTATGGACTTAAAAGTCCATTTCCTCTTGTCCTGCCTTTACTGGCAGTGCCAGACGAAGCCATCCTCTCCTCTCTTTTGACTTCCCTTATCAACTAGGAAACTCTTTGACTCCATCATCCCTCCTCCAAGAAAAGTCAACTGCCTTTCCTTTGCTCCCACTCATCCTCTCTCTCCAGTCTTGGTGTCTCCAAATGCCGTATTGAGGACACGGGACCACAGCTGAGGCATGGAGGGCCTTACCGTCCTCATGTAATCATCGCCACATATCCTGGGAGGTGGGGAGACTTCTTGTCCTCTACCGATGGGAGGACAGAGCCTGTGTCTCAATGACAGCTCAGGGTCACCCGGTCCAAGATACTCAGCGGGTTCATGTATGCCATTCCTCATTTGTACTTTCTGGTCAGTTCTGCATCCACGTACTGTTTCCAAGATGTGGCCTTATGTTCCATTCCAGCTTGATAGAGCAGAATCATGGTTCCCACTGACGCTGAGCCCTCTAGGAGTCTGGATGTGGGTTCACTGTGGCCACATCCCCAGCCAAGTGGCCTCCAATGAGGCTTTTGGCCCCTACCTAGGGCTCTGGGCCCCCTGCCCTGGTTGTGAGGCTGTAAGGTGACTGAGCAGTAGACACTCCTTGAGCACCTACTGTGTGCGCCAAACAGCGCACCTCTACTAAGCGCTCAGTCTTTGGCAACTCGGTTTTTATTCACATTTCTAAACTAAAGATGCTGCCTTTGGTTCATTCTGGCTCTAGAATGTTTGGACTCTGGACATACCCTTAGCAACAGGGCCCACCTGTTAACCATCTTTCCCATCATAGCCGCCCCCGCCGAGGCTCTGACACCAGACTGTGGCCACAGCTCCTGCCCGCGCCCCACCCTCCCTCAGTCCAATGTGGTGGCACAGCCTGGGTCACGCATGCCGCCAGAACTTTTCAAACCCTTGAGGCTGGTCTTTGTATTAGGCAAAAAGAGTTTGGTTGAGAGCCAAACAAATCCGTGTCATGCAAGTGACGTCTGGCTCTGACCCCAGGCAGGCTGGTGAGGTGGGCCCAGAGCTCCTCCTCCCCTCGGGGGCTGCGAGCACAGGATGGTGTGATGTGTGTGAACGTGTGCCCCTCTTTGTGAGCCTGTGCCAACACTGTGTCTGCCTCCCCCAGGGCACCCCCCTGTTAATCGGGACCAGGCCACTGGTGCCAGGAGACCAGGGACTCTGGTGGGGCCAATCCACAGCCTGCAACGGTGCCACACACATAGGAGGTGAACAGGAGCTGGGTGATGGCACGCAGGGACTGCTTTGACCTTTCAAGAGTCCCTTTCATCTGCCATCCCCCCAGGCCATCCTTATAGAGATCTGAGCAATGGCCTGATGGAGTCAGTTCTCTCCTCTGGGCCTTCCTCTTCTCCCCCAGTTGATTCCTTTGCTGTTGGCTTAGACTTGGTGGGCCCAATGGAGGGTGCCGGGGTCTGTCAAGGGGGCCTTTTGCAGGCCCCTTCCTGCAGCCCGCTGCCCACTGTGGCTCCTTCCTCCTTCTCCCCTCACGTCCCTCACTGATGACATGAGGAATGCAACCCAGCAGGGGACAGACACACTGGTTGTTCTGAGAGGAGATCAAGAGGGCAGGGTGGGGAGGCAGAGGCCACTGAAACAAAGGGCAGGAGACACCAGAGGAGGGGCCCGGACCTTCCTTTGAAACAGCTGTGCTGCTCATTTTAATCCTGTGGTCTTGGTCTTAGCCTGGCTGCTGGTGGGGGCAGGGTGGGGGAGGGCACAGCAGGGCCCGGCTCCAGGGGTGGGGTGTGGGGGGTGGAAGTCCTGAATGTTGTCTTGAGCTTTTCCATCCCATCCGCCCAGTGTGCTGGGCCCAGGGTTGAGATGAGTGGGCTGTGCTAGGTCCTTGGCTGCTTGAATCTCGGAGCTATGCTAACCGACCCGGGATGGGGAGCTTGGATGCGTAAGACATCTTGGGGCCCAAAAACTGTGTTCTTCCAGTGCAGGCTTGGACGTGGCCGTGGGAGGGAGAAGACCCTTCCCCTCTACAGACGTTTTCTCCTCTTTCATGTGATAGCCTCCCCCCTAGTGCAGAGTCCAGTGCCTTCCTCTTTCGGAGGGTGTGTTTAGTACTTTGTAGGATCCCCGGGGCTGCTCAAGGCTTCCTCTGTTCCTGGCAGACCTGCCCTTGGCAGCAGACGAACCCAGCCCTCTTTCTCCCCAGGGCTGGCTGGTGGCTCACCTGCCCTCCCTAAGTGGCCCCTGCTGTCTGCCCAGATGCGCAACCGGCCCGGGCAGCAGGTTGGCTTGAGCACGTGGCGGGCTAGTGCGTCCCGGGGTTGCCTGGTTACGGGGGTGTCTGGTGCGAAGCCGTGATGCGCTGACCTTGTACTTTTCCCACAGGTCCTTCAAGAGGAGCGATCCCGTTAATCCATACCACGTAGGTTCTGGCTATGTCTTCGCGCCAGCTACCAGCGCCAATGATAGTGAGATCTCCAGCGATGCGCTGACGGATGACTCCATGTCCATGACGGACAGCAGCGTGTAAGTATCCTGCTGGCCTCACCGTGGACGTGGTTGGCAGCGTGGCCCGCCGGGCCAGCGGCACAGTCCTCAGCCGGCCTCAGCTGCCTTTGCAAACCCCGTCTCTGTATGTGTGGACACTTGCGTGGTAGGCGGGGAGTGTGCAGGTGCCGGGTGCTGGTGTGTGTGTGGGGGGGAAGGGTGGAGTTGGGGAGGGGCTGTGTTGAGTCTTGAGCCTTGAAGGCCCGTCAAGTTGCTAGAAAACTAAAATAAAGGTAGAAGGTTGAAATGATCATCTTGAGTTTAAAAGCCCATCTTCTGGAAGGAACACCTGGATGGCTCAGCAGTTAAGCATCTGCCTTCAGCTCAGGGTGTGACCCTGGAGTCCCTGGATCGAGTCCCGCATCGGGCTCCCTGCATGGAGCCTGCTTCTCCCTCTGCCTGTATCTCTGCCTCTCCCTCTCTCTGTGTCTCTCATGAATAAATAGATAAAAATCTTTAAAAAAAAAAAAAAAGGAAAAAGAAAGAAAGAAACCCATCTTCTGGCTGTCCTTTTGCCTTTCTTCCCTGGGTAGAAGTGCTGGGCTGCTCTTGGAACCCGGCGTCCAGTCTGCAGAACCAGCAGCGGGGAGCAGGGTTTGTGTGTGGGTGTGTTCACTGTTTTCTGAAGGAAAAAGCATTGAAGGTGAGACTCAGAAAGCCAGAGATCTCTCTGTGCTGTCCCCTCATGGATGTGTTCTTTGGACGTTGTTCAGTTCACTAAGTGTTGGCAGGTGCCTTGTCTGTGTCAGGTTCTACCCCTGAGTGGGGCTTCTCTCCAGAGTCACCTGATCTTGGATCTTTTGATGATGAATGCATCCGGCATATTAAGAGTTTGTTCCTTTTTTTTAAAAAAAGCTGGGGGTGGGGATCCCTGGGTGGCTCAGTGGTTTGGCGCCTGCCTTGGGCCCAGGGCGTGATCCTAGAGTCCTAAGATCTAGTCCCATGTCGGGATCCCTGCAGGGAGCCTGCTTCTCCCTCTGCCTGTGTCTCTGCCTTTCTCTCCCTGTCTCTGTATATCTCATGAATAAAGAAAATCTTAAAAAAAAAGAGAGAGAAGAAAGAATTTATTATTAAAGGATAGTTGACACAGTGTTCTATTCGATTCAGGTGTGCAGCATAGCGAATCCACATTTCTGCACGTTAGTGCTCAGCACAATAAGCGTAGTCCCCACCTGTCACCACACAGTGTTGTTACAGAGCGACCGGTGATAGTGCCCATGCCGTACTCTTCATCTCTGCGACTTCCTTACTGTGTTCCTGGAGGCTTGTACCTCTTAATGCTCTTCACCTATTTCGTGCATCCCTGCCATCCACCTCGGTTTATTCCTTCGCTTTCTGAAAACAATCCAAGTCATCTGTGTGGTAGGTCTGATGAGGTCAGCAGGCCATCCGGTGGGGTCACAATTTGCATCAAAAGTCATTCAAAGTCACGCAGTGGTGATCTCTGAGTGGAGAAAAGCCATTCTCTGTGTCTCCTTGCAGGCTGTGTATGTGTGTATGTGTTGAGCTGGGTATCCCCATCTCTTGCCATCCTTTGAGATTCTGATTCGGGAGGTTCAAGGGAGGTGGAGCCTGGGGTTGGGCAAAACTTCCAAGAGCTCACCCAACTTCCACTGGAGAACTAACCATTCCAGAAATGGTCTTTGAAGCCTTCCCACAAGTCGGGATCTCTTTTGATAAGGGGACAGTTTTGAAAGGCAAACCCACTGAGCCGTGTATTAGGACATATGTAGAGTTTGTTCATTTTACCATCCTAAAACTGGACCATCTCTTCTTCCAGTTTGTTTGAAATGATCTGGTTTCTGCTGGCCAGTGTCCTGTTTTTTGGCCTGTGGCATGGAGCCAGTTGGAAGGGAAGTTGATGAAGTTGGTTTGGGAATCTACCATTGGTTTTCCTCATGTTACCTCTGATTCCCTGTTAGTAAAGGGAGAGAGAGCCACAAGGTGACAGGTTCCATTTTAATAAAAGAAGAGCATTTTGGCATTAGTGAAATTAGAATAAGGGACACACATCTTTCATCCAGCATGGAGAAATGAGGGCTTCCACGGAAGCTAGTTTTTTATCCCGACTCCACATACTTGAGAAAAATGACCTTTTGATGGTCACAGTCCTTAAAATAACACGTTTTTGTTCTATTTTTATTGAATGGTATCAGGCATAATTTATTGCTTGATCTCAACCATTGGTATCAAGATCTGTTTTCCTACCATGTAGGGTATGAGGCCATGTCAGGCTCTCTGCCCCCCACCACATACATGCTGGCAGCGCCCCCACTTTTTGAAAATGGTTGTTCTTTTTTTCTCTTGGTGATTCTGCCTGCTGTCCTATCTCGCTCCCGTCTGTGTGCTTGCTTCTAGCAACATCACTCCTTCAGCTTTCATTTGTGGATTGCGTGAGGGAGGAGTCTTAGCCTATTGAGTAAAAGGAGAGAAAGTTGGGTTGGAATGAGGGCGTTGAGTGAATCTCCCAGATCAAATGTAGTTGACACTGTAAGGCTTCTGTTTGGTGTTTTTAGAGACTGTTTTTGGCTGGCTTTCTGCCCTTGCCTGCATCTCACTCCCCACCATTGAGGTGTTGCTTTGGGGTTGTGATGAGCCGACTTGGGTGTAGTCTCCATCATGCCTGAGCCTCACAAGACCCAGTCAGAAAGGGAGGCAGTCACCTGTGACTTTCACAGTAGGGGGACAGTAGGACCCAAGGCTGGTGCAGCAGGATGGAGCTCGCGTCCGAGGCCCTTGGAGAATTTCCAGCATGAGGTGTCAGTAGAACCAGTTGATGATGAGACCTTTGAGCCACTTTGAGTTTCTTTCATTTATTAGAGAACCAGGCTGCTTTTTTTTTTAATGGTTTGGGGGAGGGGTAGGAGAGAATAGGTTCCAACTTCTCCCCTGCTCTCCCCTTCCACCCCCCCCCTTCATTATTCCCTTCTTAGAAGAACTTTCTTAATTTTCTTTTTTTTTAGAGGTGACTTTAACATTCTCAGCCTTCCCGCTTCAGCTAAGGCACTTGTGGACTTGGAGTACCGCCTAGGCCCTGTCCAGGATCAGAGGAGTAACCTTTGCCAGTCAGCTCTTCTAGGTAGCCAGGCTACCTAGCTGTAGCCAGTAAAGTCCACTTGGGTCTAGAGACAGAAAAGGGTGAGCCTCTTCATGTGCACCTTTCTCTTTGGGATCCCAAGTAGGCAGGACCTCAGCGTTGTTAGCTGTCTTGGGTTGGTGGTGAGTAAACCAGGACGTCAAGACTGAGGGAAGGTTCACAGAAGGCTGGGAGACCTGGGGCCTCAGTGTTGGGTCTGATCTGAGCCTTCTCCCAACCAAGTGGGCAAGTGATTGTCCCATGAAGCCACCGCAGCTGGACCTACGTGGGCATGTTCTTGTCACCTTGGGGCGAATTTCTCATCCGTGTAAGATCCTCCTCTCTCTGGAGTTGACAGGGCAGTTTGCTTCCTGCTGCCCACTGTGGGGGACAAAGAGGTCTCTAGGATGAGAGCCCTTGGGAGGCCGGGGGTGGTCCCCATGGGTCTCAGGCTGCCAGGTGCTTGGGGGCGGGGGGTCCCTGGGCCCTCCTGCTCTCCTGCCCCACAGGCCTGGCGTGTCCTGAGCACCCGGGCTGTGCGAGCCACTCTCTGGCTGGCCGGCCCTGGGTGTGTGTGATCTGCCGGGTGTCGGGCGGGTCACCCGGGATTCCCAGGGCTGGGATTAGACCCCTCTTCAGAGCTCTGCCAATTGTGGGCCTCGCACAGATGAGAGCTCGGAGCAGGCAAGAAATAAAGTGTGTGGGGGATGAAAAGCTGAACTGAACCGCTTTCAGCCCATTGTTCTTCTGGGGAAGCTTAGCGGGATAAGAGGGTAGCAGGCCCCTTTGAAATTTCCTTGAACAAGTGAATAGGAGCGCCCCATAAAGCATGAAAAGAGCCCTGGCTGCTTCTCCCCGTCACAATGGCCAGCGCGGGCTGCCAGGGGGGCTGCCAGGGGCTGGGGAGGGGACCCGGCCGGGGCGGGGGAGAGGGGGTCACAGGAGCCTTCAATAGACTCCAGAAGGTTGGAGTTCATTAGACACAAGCCCGGGAAGCAATCGTCTCATTTGCGACGGGACCAATTAAGTCCCGGGGGCCTTTGCAAGAGGCCGGAGTAGAAGTTGAGCGGGGCCGGCCTGCACTTGGCTGTTTCAGGGAGCCCTGCGCCGGGGGCCCGGGGGACAGCTGGCGGGGGCTGAAGCCGTCCTTGCCTTCTCCCAAAGCCCGCCGCGGACTCGTGTTTCCCGCTAAGTCAAAAGCCCTGTTAAAGGTGGCCGGGGATCTGGGCCTTCATAGTAGGCCTCTGAGAAGGCTGTTTTATGAGCCTGTTACTCTGAAGCCTGCATTCGCAGAAGAAATAGCTTTCTATTTTTTGGCTGGGGGTGGGGAGGGTGGGGGGGGCAGTTAGCTTCCAGACTCCAGCAAAGCCCTAAAGCCCTGTTCCTTGGAGTGTGGGGCGCAGAGGGTCGTCGGGCCCAGGAGGCTGCAGCCAGGGGTGGAAAACGTGGCAAGCAACGGGTTCTTCTTGGCCACCCCAGTGTGGCTTGTGTTCGGGGCAGCCAGGAAGCACGGAAGCTACGTCTACGACACAGGGGGCGGGGGATGGGGTGGCTCTCAGTCTTCTATTTTTGTGCAAAGTTGCTCTTACCGTCAGGATCAGCCTGACCTAGAGGTCGCTTCCACTCCGGGTGTCAACAAAGCCAGCGCAAGGTGCCTCCCTCTCGGTCCATGGGAAGGGTAGCACGGGTTCCTTTGCTTATTTAGTTGTATTTCCTTCTATCTTATTCATGGGTTTACTCTGGGCACCAAGGAAGGCACCCAAGTGAAGTTCAAATCTTATCTTGCAAAACCAGGCTTTTGATCAGAGGCTGCCTCCTGAGTGGTTGCCAGATGGGAATGGGAGTGGACACGTGTGTGAGTGAGTCGGTTACTGCTAAACCTCGGGAGGACGGCGCTCAGGTTAGGCTGGGCACAGCGGAGTCCAAAGGCTAAGCTAATTGGCTCGGCTTAAATGGCAGCTAAGTGGAGTCCATGCTTCAAAACCAGTGCTCCCCAGAAACAGCTGGGCTCAGCAGTGGGCTCGTTAGCTAAAATGCTTATAATTAAAGGGTGATGGTATAGGGACCGAAACTCGGGCACTCTGGCCCTCACCGTGCTGAGCATCCAGGAGACAGACCATAAACTTCTAGAGCCTGAGTACGAAGAAGAGCCGCTCTCTTCTGGCACTTGTGGCTGTTCGGAAGAAGATTCTTGGGGTGGACAGGGTGAAGCCCTGTTTCCAAGAAGGCACCTGTTAATAAGCCTTTTGGAGCCTCTGCAGGTTGAAATGTCTCTTCTCTGCCCTGGTCACGGGTTTCCTCTTCTGCAGTTGGCACCATCACCTGCCCTGGTGGTGGTGCTGAAATCATTTGTTCCTCTTGCCTTCCATTGGCCAGGGACCTGCTTCCCCCTCTTCCACTCTCTTTATATACTTCCCCTAATTCTCTTCTTCTGCTTTGTATGGAAAAAGCAAGGGGCATAAAAACTGATTTCCATCAGGGTGGAGAGGGGAAGAGCAGAGGCTTCTAGGGGACACCTGAAGACAGTCTTAGAGGTGATGGGGACCCCCTCTAGGACTCTGGAAGCCTTGCATGTGTCATAGTGAAGTCCATGGGGTGCTTGACTCCTACCCCCCAAGATTGTCAGGCAGAAGCCTGGAGCCGAGGCCACGCACCCTTTTAAAGTCCGTGGAGGTGTTACTGGTCAGGAGAAGGGCATGGACATTGTCCTGGGGCAGTCCTAGGGCAATGGAAGTTGGTTCAGTGTGCGGCCCAATCTGGGGGACCCCCATGGTCACCCTCACCCCACAAGGAATATAAGGCAAGAGACAATATAAGGGGATCTTCACTGTGCCTTAGGAACCACCTGGCGTGCCCCATGGCCAGGGAGTACCAAGTGGTGGGGTAGTATGTTCCAGAATGTTCCCCACATCTTCCCTGCTTCAGTAGATCATGTGACTTCACAGGACTTTAGGAAATGGACTATCAGGAAGTTTGGCTCCTCTAGATGGGGTGGGAGGGTGGGTTGCTGAGTTCAGGACACCTGTTCTGGAGTCCAGCAGTGGCTCAAATCTGGATCCTGGGCCTAACTGTTACTGACTGATTCCCAGGAGGGCTGCAGAGGCTCTCGGACCATCTGTAAAACTTGGTGAATTCAGGATGAAGTTGGGTTATATGTCCACATACCCAGGGGTGGGCAGCCTTGTTTTGGAATCAATCCCCTGCTGTGGAATCTGGTTACTGGTCAAGCCAGCCATCTTATTGGTGATCCCAAGGTGAAAACATTGAGTTTTGGTTAAATCTGCTCCAGGTGGTTCAGTAAGTTTCTAGAGTTGGAACCTTCTATCCTACTTGGCCTTTGAGGGTCCAGTCAAGGGAGCAGGAGGCTGTCTGGGAGGCTCAGCCTGCACTCGTCCAACTGCTGTGCTGCGTCTGGTCCTCTGGGCCTTTCTATGGGACAGGACTCACCCGTGTGTGTATATGTTCCTGCTGTAGATATGTTTTTTAAAAGGTTTATTTATTTATTTTTAGAGAGAGAGAACACAGGAACAGGGAGAGGGGGAGGAACAGAGAATCTTTCAAGCAGAGCAGCCCGATGCAGGGCTTGATCCTACAACTCACAGGATCATGATCTGAGCTGAAACCAAGAGTCAGTCAGGCACTTAACCGACTGAGCCACCCTGAGCCGAAACCAAGAGTCAGGCGGTTAACCGACTGAGCCACCCAGGCGCTCCCCTGCTTTAGATATTGATCCCTCTTCTCCCCCTGTATTCTCCATACAATTGGATCCTTTATGTCTAATTCCTAGCCAAGGTTTGGCTGACATGCCTCCTGGATGTAGTGACCTGCCATGATCTGTATCAGCCCCACAGTGGCCCTGTGACCTGGCCTAGGTCAACAGATTTCTGGAAAATGCAGCCACTTGGAATTCTAGGGCATTACAGATGAGGACCTAGAGGTCAACCAGTTACCCCCAGCTACTCCCAGGTATTTTTAGGCATATGAGCCAAAGATGTTTTTCTTCCCTCTGCCCTGTGATGAACAAAACACCAGGAAGAAGGAAATAACCAAATACCTAATTTCAATATTTACAGCCTCCAAGTATGATTCAGCATAGGAATGTTGGAACCCTGAGGCTTTTGTCAATAAGGGACCTCCAGAAGGGGCACCAGTGGGAAATAGTGACACCTTGACCATTGAACTGCTTTCAAGCACAAAATTCTTTAAAAAAAAAAAAAAAAAAAAAGATCATAGCAACTTCAGGTCCTGTTTTAGTGAAGACTAGCTGGGGTGGAGTCTTTTCTTACCTCAACCACTTCCTCTTTTTTTTTTTTTTAAATTAAATATGATGAAGGAGGAGGGTTCATCCTGCCTTCAGGTGTTTGCTCAAAGGTCACCATCACAGCGAGGACTTCGTTGGTACTCCCTCCCCCACCCCACCCTTGAAAAACTGGAGCTCCTCACCTCCCACACCATCCTTTCTTCCCATGTCCTGCCCTGTATTTTGTCCCAGCGCTTGGCACTTTCTAACACGCTGTAGACTTGGCTTTTACATTTTCTGCTTATTGCCTACTGCCCGTTAGAATGGAAGCCCTGTGAGGGTGGTCGTCTCCATTTTTACCCCCTGCCTTCACTGCTGTCTTGCCCAGTGCTTGGAACAGGGTCTGGCACATAGTAGGTATGCAAATATTTGAAATTGTACGGAGTGCCATGTAGTTGGGGCTTTGTCTTTATGCCCACGTTGGTCACGTGTCCTTGGGGATTCCTTAGTCTGGGGGTGGTAGGGTTTGGAGCTGAGGGAGGAAAGGCACCCAGAGATAGTCCTGTGGTGGTGATTTATAGAAGGGAGACTTTTGGAAGCAATCAGGGGCTTGACTGTTGGAGAATTAGGCACACTTTCATTACTGCCTGGCTCGGCTCTCTGGCTGTGGTCCCTCTTCCTACAGTATGTTTCCCTGGTGTGCTCCACAAGGCCCTGATCTGAGGCAGTACAGCGGACTGTAAGGAGGACCAAAGGGGCCTCAGATTGTCCTGCTTGGGCCCCTGTGAGATGAAATAGGGGAGTCTTCATTTTGGGCTGGCTAGAGTGTGACCTGTTCTAAGGCAGAGCTTGTGAGGGGAGCTTGCAAAGCTCCAAGTTGTCCACCCTGAATCTGAGAGGGAGCCCCAGTTTACAGAGGTGATGGGCAGGGGGTTTGGCAGGTTGATCTTGGATTGATCATTCCCCTTGGGAAGAGCCATGGGGCCCAGGACCGGGATATACTTGCAGGGAGGCATGTGATGGTCCTGTCCATTGGTGGGATCTCAGGATAGCTTGTGAGTTAGCCCACGTGCTGGAAGCGTCCTCACGAGCCTGTGGGTTCTGTCTTTGCCCTTCCCTCAGAGATGGAATCCCTCCTTACCGTGTGGGGAGTAAGAAACAGCTCCAGAGAGAAATGCATCGCAGTGTGAAGGCCAATGGCCAAGTGTCTCTACCTCATTTCCCGGTGAGTATAGCCTGGAGGGGAAAGGTGGATATTTTCAGCCATGTTGAGTCTTGAAGAAAAGGGGTGGGAGGTGGGGGGGGGGTTAGGTCTCCGGTAAGAGGAGGAGCAGTGGCTGGGTCTGCCAGGGTGAAGGGAAGGAAGGGGGAAGTAGGCAAGAGGTGTTCCATGGTTCCTTGGGGTCTGATGCCGGGCAGAGTGAAGCTCAAGATGACCTACTTGAACCTCTACATTTTCTCAGTTTGAAAAAAAATTCTGCATGAGAAACCAGAGCGGTTCTTTTCCAGAAACCAAGAAATGGTGGGAATTAAACCATGTTTCTGGTTGGGTTCCCACTGGAATGGAAGCCTCCTGAGGGCAGGGAGGCTTTTCTGTTAGATGCCCCGTCTGCAGAGACTGGAACAGTGGCCCGCACGTAACAGGTGCTAAGACTCAATTGAGTCAGTGAATGAGGAGGCTGAAGGAAGTTCTGCCTCCTGCAGAAGGGAAATTATATCCCTGGACATTTTCTCCGGGTGACTTCTGAAGCCCTGGAGGGCAGCTGTCCCATCTTGCCTGTTTCCAACCCCAGAACTTGGCTTCATCCCTGCTGTTGCATCTGCACCTAATGAATGCTGAATGGATGAAGGGTTTGGAGGTTCGGATCTCACGAACAGCTTCTCCCTGTGATTGACAAGAGAGGCCAGCATGGCATGGAGGGCCTTTCTTGGTACCTCCCCTTACGTTTCCAAGTCTCGGGAGGGCGGCCAGCATGTGGCCCCCATAAATCTCAGCAGAGCCTCCTTGCCTGCGTTGTAGGAGCTCCGCTTCTTGCAATACCCTGATACCCAAGATTGCAAGAAGCCTGTCGATTAGGGAGGGGAAGAGCGCGCCCAGCTTCAAGTGGCGTCTCTTCCTGAATCCTTCCTGCCAGCTCCTGAGTATTCAATTAGTCCATCAGTGATGCCACATTCAGAAAATTAACACATCGACCCGCTAATCCCATGTTGTGTTAGTGCGTGGGTGGTTGTTGCTAGAGCAGCTCCCCGCTGAGAGCCCCTGACACCGTCCAGGGCAGACTTACCTGGGTCCTAAAATCGAGCCTGTCACCATGCTTTCCGGGGGCCTTCAGCATCCGCCTTCCTCCATAACATCACCCCAACAAATACAGCAGTGTGGATGATAGACTTTTTTTTGGCAGGACTATGGGGGTGCTGGGGAGTGGAGTATGTGTGTGAATAAAAGTTCTACTGCGCAAGCTTGTAAATTAGATGATCCTGTCCTGGGGTGTGCAAATCGACTTTCTCCATAGGGCAGTGCTTTGACGGGAGCCGGTGTGAGAGCGGCCGGCTCCTCTGGGGGGTGTGTTGGGGGGGGGTGGAACTTCTCTCCTCCCTCCGCGGCCCTGCACGGCCCTGCACTTCCGAGGCTAAGTGGGTGCCGGGGGCCAGGGGGAGGCCAGCCCAGCCGCAGGGGGAGTGCGGGCCTTCACCGGTCGGCTTTCTGCCACCCCCGCAGCCCCCGAACCCCCCAACCCTAGAGGGGAGGGCAGAGCAAGAGGGAAATTGAGGAAGGAGGAAGCAGACAGCCGAGGGGAGGGGGGCGGCGGGGGGACAGGAGGACAGAGCGCCGGGGCGGTGGGAGTCCTCTGTTTGCTGCTTTTGGCAGGCACCCTCGATGCCTTTTTATATTCTGTACTTGATTTGGAGATGTTCCCCGTTCCCTTGATAGATGAGCTTCAGGCAGCCAAGCTCAGCGGTGCTCTGCTGCTAGCCCGCAGCATCTTCCTTCATTTTCTGTACAAAGAGCCGGGGAGGAGGGGTGGAGAGAGCCGGGGAGATCTAGGACAGTGTTGAGACAACACCACCTCAAAGGTGCGCAGTGTGTGGCCACGAAATAAATTACCACTTCTTCTGATCCGGCCGTGTGACTCCCTTTTTTCCCCTTTTCTTCCCCCACCCCCACCTCCCTTCCAATCTTATTATTATTATTATTATTTTTTTTAATTTCCAGCTCCCTTTCTGTTTAGGCTCTACTTTTTTTATTCCTTGAGTTGAGCTGGTGCCTCCCCCCTCCCACCTCAGAGGGCTGCCTTCTTTTTTTTTTTTTTTTTTTTTTGATGTTTGACAACAGTCTTTGAAGATTTTCTACTTCAGAGTAGCTACTGATGGGCTGGTTGTACTACAGAGAGAACAAGCGGGGCCTCTCGGAGTGCGACCAACTGCTCCTGCCCAAGGCAAACGCTGGTGGGGACCATGGCTCTCCATGAGGCCGCGGCGCCGGCGCATAAAGCTCCCGAGCAGCCCGGGCGCCGCGCCCGCCGCTCTCCGCCCGCGCAGCCGTGGCCGTGGCCGTGGCCGAGGCCGTCGGGCCCGGGAAGCTGCGGCGGGCGCCCCGTGCTGGCCCGCTGAACGCGGCGTCGTGTCTTCCCTCCCCGTGCCCCGTAGAGAACCCACCGCCTGCCCAAGGAGATGACCCCCGTGGAGCCCGCCACCTTCGCGGCCGAGCTCATCTCCAGGCTGGAGAAGCTGAAGCTGGAGCTGGAGAGCCGCCACAGCCTGGAGGAGCGCCTGCAGCAGATCCGAGAGGTAGTGCCGGGCGTCCGCGCCCCCGCCCTGCCGCCTGCGCACCGTGGCGCCGCCCCTCCCCGTGACCCCCACCCCCCGCGACCCGGGCCAGGCCCTCCTGCTTACCGGCCCGCGCCCCCTTCTGCTGCCCGCCCCTCCAGGATGAAGAGAAGGAGGCCTCTGAGCTAGCGCTGAGCTCCAGGGAGGGGGGGCCCACCCCGCACCCCCTCTCCCTCCTGCCCTCCGGCAGCTATGAGGAGGACCCGCAGACCATTCTGGACGACCACCTGTCCAGGGTCCTCAAGACCCCGGGCTGCCAGTCGCCGGGTGTGGGCCGCTACAGCCCCCGCTCCCGTTCCCCCGACCACCACCACCACCACCAGCAGTACCACCCCCTGCTCCCGCCCGGGGGCAAGTTGCCCCCCGTGGCAGCCTCGCAGGCCGGTTGCCCCCTCCTTGGAGCCAAAGGCTTCGTGACCAAGCAGACGACGAAGCATGTCCACCACCACTACATCCACCACCACGCCCTCCCCAAGACCAAGGAGGAGATCGAGGCAGAGGCGGCACAGAGGGTGCGCTGCTTCTGCCCCGGGGGCACCGAGTATTACTGCTACTCAAAGTGTAGGAGCCACCCCAAGGCTCTGGAGCCCGTGCAGGCGGAGCAGTTCAGGTAAGTGCTGGGCAGACTGGAGTGTCCCTGTGGGGGTCGGTCTCTCTCTCTCTCTCTCTCTCCCCCTTCCCCCCACCCAGAGCCCGGGGCAGGTGTGAGGTGGGGGCCAGAGGTCACAGGCACTTAGCTTCCAGGAGGGAGGTGCACGGTGGGGCGGGGCAGGGGGAGCAGGTGCATGGGTCTTCCGTGTCACCCCGCCACTCGCTGAACCGGCCGATTGGAAGAGTCTCAGAGATGTAACGGGGCCTCTGGGACGGGTGTGGGTCTTGGTTCCCTGCAGCAGCAGCAGAGGCAGTACCCTGCCCAAACGAAATGGGAAAAGCGTGGAGCCGGGCCTGGCCCTGCCCGCCAGGGAAGGAGGGGCCCCAGGCGGAGCTGGGGTCCTGCAACTTCCCGGGGAGGAAGGAGACAGGTCGCAGGATGTCTGGCAGTGGATGCTGGAGAGTGAGCGGCAAAGCAAGCCCAAGCCCCCTAGGTAAACACCACCGCCGCCGCGGCCAGGGTCACGGGCAGTCGCCACGGAGGTATTGTGGGGTTGGCTATTTTTGCAGTCGACCGAAAGCAAATGTGACTGTTTGCTCCTGCCGTCTTAATATTAAACGGTGGACTGAGCAGACCACAAAAATGCCATGTTTTGGCAACGCCCCCTGTCCGTGTGATGGTAGGGTCATTTTTTTTCTCTTCTCTTTGAAGGCAGGATAGAGAAGTTTCTACTGAGGTCACATTTTCCAGTTTTTCTAACCCAGTTTCTTTCCTTCTGCTTTCTCTCTCTTGCTCCATGTTCAGTGCCCAAAGCACAAAGAAGGCTTACCCCTTGGAGTCGGCCCGTGCGTCCCCAGCCGAGCGAGCTGGCCGGCACCACCTGCTGGGGGGTAGCAACGGGCACCCCCGTGCCGCCCCCCGAGCCCACCCGTTCACCCAGGACCCCGCCATGCCTCCCCTGACTCCGCCCAACACGCTGGCACAGCTGGAGGAGGCCTGCCGCCGGCTGGCCGAGGTGTCCAAGCCCCCAAAGCAGCGGTGAGTAGCAGCAGCACAGCACAGACATGAAGGCAGAGGTTGGGTCTGGAGGGGGAGCCCTGGCCTGTGGCACAAGGGAAGGGGCCCTCTTGGCCTGCATCTCAGTTGCTCCTCAGGGAGGAGGGATGGCTTCTGGACACATACCGGTCTCCTTCCCACCTGCTAGAAATTGTTCCTTTAACTTCTGTTTGCTCTGAAGAGCTGGCCAGGATCTGTCCGTTAGGCAGGTCAGGCCCAGAAAGAGGATGAATTGCGGTAGTTCCTTACAAATCCCATCCCTGACAAATGTCCCCATCACCATCACGCAGGGCTGGCATGTAAGAAGCCACGGCTGATGGACAATCTAGAGCCTCAGCCCTTTGTCTGGGCTGGTGTCATCCTGCCCCATTCTGGGCTCCCCGGGGGCTCAGGATGGCTGTTCCCCGGGGATGGAAGTCGGGCCTGCAGAGGACGGCTTTCCCGTCTGCTCCCCGCTTGCCCGGCCACAGCAGGCTCATTCTTGGTCCTCTGCTCTGACTCTGTCCTCAGGTGCTGTGCAGCCAGTCAGCAGAGGGACAGGAACCACTCGGCCACTGGTCAGACAGGAGCCACGCCCTTCTCCAACCCAGGCCTGGCTTCAGAAGAGTGAGTGTCTTCACCTGACGTGGCCGAGGGCCCCCGAGGGGGCGTGTGTTTCAGGGTCTTGACTCCCTGGCATTGAGATTTTGGAGAACTTTTTCTAGCATATAAAATCACCTTGGTTTTAACAGTAGCAACACGGGCTGGTGAATGCAGATGTGGCCATAAATTAGGACCTTGAAAACCCTGCCTGTACGGGGCAACGTGTTGTGACTCGTACACAGGCGTTGCTCCCTGAAGTGACAGGTGGCTCGGGGTGCCTGGACACACACTGAGCAGAAGCGGAGACGTGAAGCCATTAGCACATGGATTAGAGGGGTCCCCAGGCCCGGATGCAAAAGTTGCCCTCACTCAGCTTGCATGCTGCTGGGTCAGAAATGTCTCGTCGCAGGGAGCCGGAAGATGATTCTCCATCATCGCAGACATAGAGGACAGTTATTGTTTTGCTTGAGGGAAATGGAGTGTCTTCCCCAGTTGTGCCATGATTCTTCCCATAAGTTTACGCTCCTGCAAAGCCGACCAAGTAGCCTGGCTTCGTTTAATTATGGGAGGGTGCGTTCAGAAAGAAATCGGCCATGGGAGTCTAACGTGGTCTAAATAATTGAAGTTTTCTTCCTTATCTTGTTCATCTTGGGCAGTGAGCCATGTTTGCAGCCCGTGAATGAGCCACCACCCTTCTCGTTGGTTGACCTTAGTTAGGTGTACCAGCTGTCCAGGCCTGCAGCTTTTTTTTTTTTTTTTTTTTAAAGCCACTCTGCAAACTCAAAGAATAAACGAGGGAGGTCAGAATGATAGGGCCGACCCTCCCAGTGGGCTCTGGCATCCATGCCGTCTCGGGAGCCGCTCTGGGTTTGCCTCTGCAGCATTCATTCCCCAGTTGGGCTGAGTGAACCCATGTTCTCTCTGACAGCTTCCCGCCTCGTCTTCACTGGCAGGCACCCTGGTTGTGCCATCCTGAAAGAGACTATTCCACACCTGTCTTCCCGCCCCCCATTTGGTGGTCGCGAGGGGGACAGTAGCAGCCGTGTACAGCCCGAAGGACATTGTCCCTTCCTGGGTGCCCGGGGCTGTGTGCCACCGAGGTGGCGGCCCCTGTGACAGGGGGGCCCTGCAACCAGGCCCTTTTGAGCATCTAGCTGCAGTCCTTTCCCTGCGGAGAATATGTTCGAGAGCCCATGCTTGTGCGTGTGTGTGTCGTGCGTGCACTTGCTGCCTGCAAATGCTAAAACTTGTTGCATTCCATCTTATTTCTCAGTCACAAAGAGCCAAAGAAGCTGGCGGGGGTCCACGCGCTCCAGGCCAGCGAGTTGGTCGTCACATACTTTTTCTGTGGAGAAGAAATTCCATACAGGAGGATGCTGAAGGCTCAGAGCTTGACCCTGGGCCACTTTAAAGAGCAGCTCAGCAAAAAGGGAAATTATAGGTAAGAGCCCTGCGGCTTCTCACTGCTCCAGAGTTTGTTTGCTCAGAAGCAAGAGCCAGAGTCGTGTCGCTGGCCTGGCGGACCCGGGAGGGGCTCAGGAGGCGCTCCGGGCAGCCGTGGGGCTGCCTGGCGCTTGTACTCCTTCTCATTTCCTCTCTCCCCTCACCACTGACAAAAATAACACAGCAGCAGCAGCAGGGAGGCCCTGGGAGGGCTCTGTGGGGACCTGGATGGGCTTTTTCTACCAGGTGAACGAGACTCTGAGGGCACAGGGGGCTCGGCCAGGAGAGCTGGGCTGGGGCATTCTTGTGAAGGCCCTTCCCGAAAGGGAGAGGGCGGTATGTGTGTCGGGGAGGGACAGACCGACAATGAGGAAGCTCGGGTGTAGGAGAGATCGTCCACACAGCCAGCGTGGGGAAGGGCAGAGGCCACCGCCCGGAAGCAGAGACCGCCTCTCCTCCCTCGCCCGCAGCCCTCCTGCCCACAGAACTGCCTCGCCGTGGTGAACGGCTCGCGTGAAGCCGGAGAGCTCTTCTATCCGTAGCAGAGGAGGATGGGCACTCACCTCCCTCCAGCCCCCCTTCCCCTTCTGGGGGCCTTCGAGGGCCCCAGAGAGGACTCAAGAGCAGAGCCCATTCCTGGGTTCCCTTCTCCTTAATGGGGGGTGGGTGATGACCCCACCTCCGTTCATCTAGAGTCGTCACTGCCCCTTCTCCGTGGCTATCGTCCCAAGGGAATATGTGGGCAGGCCAGGGGCATCAAGGTGCTGGGCACACACTTCAGGGAGGGGTCCAGTATGTGCTCAGAAGGTGCCAGCCCATCCCACTGGTAGCCGGAGGTGGGCGTGGAGAAGCTGCTTGGCACTCAGCCCCCGGCCAGGAGGGCACCAGCTTCCGGAGCCCCTGACCCTGGCAGCTGCTTGGGGCAGCGGCCCAGAGGAATTCCTTTTGCTGGGAAACCATGGGGTTCGGGGCTGAGGATCCTGTAAGGGACTGAGGAGCTGGGTGTGGAGGTGGACTCTAGATCTTTCCATCTGACACCAGGGCAGAGACAATTCAGGAAAATGTATCCAAGGGATTGGGGAGCTTCTTCCTCTTCTTCCTCTTTTTCTTTTTTCTTTTTTTTTTTTTATCTTGAACAGACACAAGGTGAAACTAATTACACAAGTGTGCCCCTCCAGGGATTCATTTTGATCTCAGCTCTGACTCGGCTGGACTTTGAGTGGAACTGCAGGTGACCTTCAGGGGAGCAGGGCCACAGAGCGCCGAGCAGAGGCTACAGGGGAGGCTTCACGTTCAGCCACTCCGGCCACATCTGGCTCTGATTTTTTTTTTTTTTTCTAAGGCGCACTTAATAAGCCTGGCTTTGAAGCCCCGGCCTCCCTTTTAATGCACAAAGACTTGCACAAATGGTTGACTCTCAAATTCTTTACTGATTGGATCAGGCTGTGGCCAGAGCCTTCCCGGCCGCCTTATCTCCCTGGCCTGGCTCTCCGGCCGGAGCTGGACCCCTTGCCCTCCTGGCTCGTGGAGGCACCGGGTGCCCTGCCTGGCCCTCCCAGCAGGGGTGGTGCTCCTGTTCTGCAGCGCCCACCCCCCACCCTCCCAATAAAAAGCCCAGTGAGGATGGGGCCGCCGAGTGGGGGGACCTGGGCTGCACTGAGTAATCTCAACATGGCAGAGGTTCAAAAGGAGAACAGTCTCTCCAGACGTGCCAGACGCTATTGGTGCCAGATGTCAGAAGAAAGCAAAGTTTGCCACATAAAGCATGTTGCAGTGGAAAAGCCCGTTTCTTGGAGAAGACGAGGGCAGCACAAGTGCGTTTGAAGTCCTGGGGCCGGGGCCTGGGGAATGTGGCCTCTCCCCTCCCTGGAAGAGGTTACAGTTCTGTAAAAGGTCACTGCGTATTGGCTCAGAGGTGCCACGAAAGCCCCACTCAGTAGAGCTGAGGGGTCCGCTTGGGGACCAGGGGACACGGTGGAGGGTGGCATCAGAACCGTGGCCTTCCCCCCTCCACCGTGTGGGGCCCCTGTGTGCAGTACACCCCGCCCCCGGGCTTCCCCAAGCGCCCCGCTCCATAGGAAGCGTCCTGCGCGCTGCCCGGGCCCAGCCTGCCGCTCGCCCTGGTGCTGTGGCCCAGCTGGGACCGCTAACAACCAGGAACCTTGACTAAACCCAGCTGGTTCACTTTATTTAGCCTTATCTCCTGTGAAAGTATTTGGCTTGCTTTCATCACAAAGAAGTTGAGCTCTCTAACCGAGGGGAATTCTTTTTTTTTTTTTTCTTCTCCTTTTTCTTTTAAATGAAAAGACAGGAACAAAAAACAACTGTAACCCTGAGACCCAAGTCCACTTTTTTTAAAGAGCTGTCCCCCTACCCCCCAGAGGACCATGACCCTCCCTCCCCGAGGGGCCCTTCTTGGCTGGAGGTGACCACTTGCAGGGGCGCGTTTAATCGGTCTGAGGGGTCTCCCTGGCCGGGCCCGGGGACACAAGGGGCTGGGGACAGCAGTTGTTTTCTGAACGTGGCTCTCCTGAGAGAGGCCGGTCATTTGCGTCCACACAATTAGCCTTAGAAGAAAGAAGGGGGTTGGGGTGGGTAAAAGGAACCTTTAATCAACCGGCATAATAGAAGAGTCTAGTGTTTGACCCTGGAGGGGTGTGGTGGGCTGTGGGGGGGCAGGAGGGACACAGAAGAGGGGACCAAGGAAGCAAGGTGGGGCTGGCCGCCGCCGGCAGTAGCCAACAAGGGGAGCGGCCTGTGGGTGCTGGAGGGTGGAGAGGACAGGAGGTGTCAGCCTTCCATGGACTTCTGCAAGTTCGGGGTGGCTGGGTCTGGGGCTTCTTTGAGGGGGCGCCCCTGCTTGGCTGCTGCTGCAAAGGGACCAGGCGTGCTTTGCCCCTCCTGCCCGCACCCCTCCCCAAAGGGGGAGAACGAAGCCGGCAGCTGTCCGCCGCAGGGTGTGCTCTGCCCAGCGCACGAGGGGGGTGGCAGCAGCGCTCTGGGCCGAAGTGTGCAGGTGGGAGGCTGCCCCACCTGCCGCTCCCCGGGGCACCTCCCAGGTGACACCCCCCCCCCGCCCGATCGCACCCCCCGGGCCGGCCCCGGCGACCATGGTCCATGAGACGCGGGCAGTGGGTCACACGCACACCTGCAGCGGCAGCACCCTCCGGACCTCCGAGTGCTCAGCGGTGGCATCACCTTCCCGTGAAGCAAAGCAGGAGACCCCGGCTAACCAAGACGCTCTTTGGGTTCTCCTTTTAAGGTATTACTTCAAGAAAGCAAGCGACGAGTTTGCCTGCGGAGCGGTGTTTGAGGAGATCTGGGACGATGAGGCGGTGCTCCCCATGTACGAAGGCAGGATTCTGGGGAAGGTGGAGAGGATCGACTGAGCCTCGGGGGTCGGGCCCCGGCGGACACGGGGCCACCAGCCTGGGCCATGACCGACCGCGACAAGACCTTTTGAAGGAAGACGAAACCAATGAAGAAGACAGTCTAGGGAAGACTTGGCCACTGGCCACGCGGGGAGGGCGGGGAGGGGGGAGGTTGGTTTTCATTATTCACGAGCTGGGTACTGAGATAAGAAAAGCCTGAACTATTTATTAAAAACATGACCACTCTTGGCTATTGATGATGCTGACTGTATTTGAGAGACTGCCATACATAATATATGACTGCCTAGGGATCTGAAATCCATAAACTAAGAGAAACTGTGTATAGCTTACCTGAACAGGAGTCCTTACTGCTATTTATTGAACAATTGATTCCCCCCAGCCCCCAGTTTATGGATATGCTGCTTTAAACACGGAAGGGGGAGAGGAGGGGAAGTTTTAATTGTCCTATCTATCCCAACTTGGGAGTGGAGCGAGGGGCGCGTTAATGATTTCTTCGTTAAGAGGGGAATTATTATGCTTGGCCCTGCATTTCTCCGCGTGAGGATAGACTTGTTTAAATGGTGCCCTACCATTAACACGCAGAAATTGGTGCATTTTTTTTTTCCCTATGCTGCTCTGTTTTGTCTTAAAGGTCTTGAGGATTGATTTATGTTGCAACATCACCGCCATTTGGGGCCATCGTGTGGGATTGGACCCATCGTGAGGGGGGGAGGGGGGGAAGCCTCGTTTGGAGGACCCCAGATTAACTCAGTAACTTCTCTTAACTCCCCACCAAGGCCCAGCGCCCAGTGCCTGAGGCCCCCTAGAACCTTCTGGTTCAACTCGTGCTTGTATCGAAACAACAGTTCCTTGGAGTGTTGGTTGGTTGATTTCATTTTTAAATTAGTCTTTGGACCACCACCATTCTGGAAACCACCACCACCCCCTTGCCCTGCAAAGAAGCGGACAGTTGTGGGAAGACCTAGCAGCACCCTTTCCTCCAGACACCTTCATTTTGACGTTCGGGTTTTTGTGTTAAGTTAATCTGTACATTCTGTTTGCCATTGTTACCTGTACTATACGTCTGTATATATTGTACGACAGAAGAGTATTAATCCACTATCTCTAGTGCTTGACTTGAAATCAGTACAGTACCTGTACCTGCACGGCGCCCCGCTCCGTGTGTCGCCCTATATTGAGGGCTCCAACTTTCCCTTGTTTTTTGAAAGGGGTTTATGTATAAATATATTTTATGCCTTTTTATTACAAGTCTTGTACTCAATGACTTTTGCCATGGCATTTTGTTCTACTTATACTGTAAATTATGCATTATAAAGAGTTCATTTAAGGAAAATTACTTGGTACAATAATTATTGTAATTAAGAGATGTAGCCTTTATTAAAATTTTATATTTTTCAAAACGTTGGCCTCGTCTCTCAGTCCCCGCGGTGGGAGCAGGGCAGAGGCTGCCCCCCTGTGTGTGAACACCTGTGCTTGATTTCACACCTTGCCTGAGCCTCTCTCTGACCCACCTCCACCTCTTCTCACCCAACCCGGCCCTGCCCTGATGTTTTCAAGAGCTCTCTCTTCAAAATCCCCTGGTTACCGGCTGAGGGTTTTCTTGTTCTCCAGCAGGCCCTAGACCACTTCCTCGCATGTCCCCTTCCCTAGACCACTTATCTGCAGCCTCTCCCTCGCAGGCGGGACTCACCTGGCGAGGTAAGTCCAGGAGATAAGGAGCGGAGATGCGCCTTACTCCTAGGAGCACCGGGAGAAAATTTCCAGAAAACAGTGGGTAGATGGGGAGTGTCCAGTGGAGCTGAGGAGCCTTGAGCTTGGTGATAAGCAGCCACTGTCTCTGTGGCTATGTGATCTCAGCTGATGCCTTCGGCGAGGGTCTGGGCCAGAAAGGTGATAAGGAAAAAAACAGGTGGTTGAGCAAGAAAACTGCGTGGTTGGCTGGACCGTTGACCTGGTGTGGCCACGGAAGTCGGCTGGCGGTCGTTCGCTCAACACACTCGGGTCACCTCCCAGTGCGCCGAGCCCCCGGAGGCCGGGCTGTGTTTCCCATCTGGGAGAGCAGGTCTGTCCATCTAGTGGGGTCCTATCCTGAGCCCATTTTAGAAACAAAGGGTCCGTTGGACTTGGCTTCTCACGCGTGCAGTTTTCCTGGGGTTGGGTCTGTGGCAAATCTGGTTGGCTTTCTGTCGCTGTTGGAACCCGTGGGGCTGACAGGGCAAGATAAGTAAGGCCAGGGCCCTGGCCACGCAGGGTGAGGAGGCACTGGGCGGCCGGCCGGGCAGGCCAGGGCGCGAGGGAACAGGACAGCGGGCGGCAGGAGTCCTTGATCTTGGTCCTAGTGCTGCGGTCCTAGTGTTGCACCCACCCCTCTGGGCTGGAATGGGGGCTCAACCCCCTTCCAAATTGGAAGATTCTTTCCAATCTGAAAGAGATTTAACCTGCTGTGGGTGGTGTGGGTGGGGCGTTTAGGCTTTAATCTTCAGGTCTATTGATTCATCCCAGGAGCATAGGGAGGTAGAACAAGGCTGGGACTCCGACCACCGTGGGCTCAAGTCCCGGGGCCACCACGCTCCAGGGCACCGTGGGTGCTGACCACTTGTGTCTGCGCCTCTTCCAAGAGGGCCTGTTTCTCTCTACCTCTCGCATTTTAACAATTAGGTGCTCCTCACCTGGCCTGGATGGGCACCTGGGGTTGCTAAACCCTCAACTTTGTGGAATCACCTGTGTCTTTACCTGAGAAAAATGTCGTTAGTTTTATTAGATTTAAAAAAAAAAGATTTTTACCTACTTATTCATGAGAGACACAGAGACAGAAGCAGGCTCCCTATGGGGAGCCCGATGTGGGACTCGATCCCAGGACCCCAGGATCACGACTTGAGCCAAAGGCAGACGCTCAACCGCTGAGCCACCCAGGTGCCCCAGTTTTATGAGGTTCTTACAGGGATCTCTGACTCAAAAAGCTAAAATATGGTTTGAGTTTTCTGCTCTTTCTTCCCTGCCCCCAAATCATTTAAGAGCCAGCTCTTCAGAACCCCTCAGCCCCCCCCCCCCCCGGCAGCAGCCGCCCACCCCAGACCCACTGACAGGGCAGGACCTGTGCCAGTCCAGCCACTCCCGGAAGAGTTGCACTGGCTCAGATGCTCCTGGATCTTCCCCTTTCTGAACTTCAGCTTCCAGCTGGATCCACCCACTTAGTGCTCACTCCCTGGTGCTTCCTCGTGCTCGGGCCTTATTTCTCGGATCAGTGGTTAACCAGCTAATCGGAGGTGAAGCGTAGACCATGGAGCTTAGTCCACTTGGGGCTCAGCCTGGGGGGCCACGGCTTCTGCATCCATCAAGTGGGGATAATAAATGTGCGTACTTTCCAGGGTTGCTGTGATGGCAGAGGGAGGTGCGGGGGCTCAGGATCTCGCTTGGGGTCTCGGGGTACTTGGGATCCGCCCTTACCGCATCTGTTATTAGCTCCTCATTTGGAAATTCCGCACCTCCCATTCCTGCTGCAACATCTGGGCTCCGCCATCCTGCTTCCCTTGCCCCTGGCACAAAACCAGGAGGGTGGTGGGCAAATGGGTCGGTAGGCTGTTTGGGGGTTTTGAGCTAGAGCAGAGCCTTGGCCCCAGAGCATCTTTAAATTTTTATTAAATCTATGACTTTATACAATCCTCAGAAATTCTGTGTGGACTTAACTGGGGTTGACGGTTCACGTAGAGAAACTTGAAATGTGGGGTTTTGGAAACAGGATCCTGTTCTACTCTTCCCCCTACCCCAAAATATGTCAGGATCGTAACCATGCTGTCCATAAGAAGGAAATTGACAATTACCCCAAAGCAAATATTCCAGTCTATCTGGATAATTCAGTAAGATTTATTGTCGTTGTTTTCCTGATTGTTATTCTTGGTAAAGAAAAGTATTTCCCCCCCCCTTTTTTTTTAACCTTTGATAAATACTTTGGTTGTATGGAAACTCCCCAAATCATGTAGATGATTCAAAAGAGGGATTCACACCTTCCTTAGCATCATTATTCCACTTCATCAACCAGATTTACTAAAAATCTGATATGAGAGTGAGCCTCTACTGTACTCTGTGGCTTGTCCCAGGAAGGGGTCCTCCACCTGGATCCACCTGGATAATGCCCAGTTCTGAAAACATAAATTCCCTGGGCTTCATCTACACCAATCTTTAAATTCCCCTAATGTGCTCTGTTGCTCAGAGCCAGGGCATATGCTGTTCCCTCTTCTGGGCACAGCCCCCCCACCCCTCCACCCTTCCTGAGGCTGTCTGCCTTTCAGCCTTCAGGTCTCGAAATTAAATATCAGAGATCTTTCCTGACCATCGGGTCCATGTATGCCCTCGCCTGATCCTCCCCATCACAGAAGTTCCTTCATCTGTTCACTGCACATTCTCATTTATGACGATACAATAATGATTTTGTTGCCCACTTATTTATTCATCCATGAGGCAGGGAGTAAATATGCTTCTATTCACCCTTATGTATATAACAGCCAGCATGATGCTTGGCAGCTAGTACGCACTCAATATTGATTGAATTGAAGCAAAAAAGAAAATAGAAATTGCCAAAAGCAATTTTAGTATCATCTATAATGAAAATAATCACTATTAAAACACGCATGCGCACATGTGCGTGCACACACACGCATAGGACCATATGGTGCACGTTATTCTGTAATCTATATTTTTCACTCAGTAACATGTCATTGGCATATTTCCATATCAATAATATTTTTCTGTGTTGTTCCACAACATGACTTAAACGTACGGCTGCATTTATTTAATCATTTATGGTTGGGACGTTTATACACTTTACAAATTCTGTAATTATAAGTCACATTGTAATGAATCTTTCTAGCTAAACACTCTCTCGGTATTCATAGCTAAAGAGTCCTTAATTATTAGGATGAAGGTTTTCCATGTAGAATTTCTGGATCAAAGGTCCTTTTTTAGGGTTTTGGCCACATCCTGCCAGACTGTCTGAGACACTGGCTTGTCTCACTCCAGTGCTTGGCTCACGGTTGGCACTAGAGCCGTGTTTACGCCATCCACTTAAATCTCAGGCCCGGACAGTCAAGACTCTCCTCAGTTGGAGCCAAGTCTGCCTTTCTGGTATGATCTCCATTCTCAAACTGGGTAGCCTTGAGCAATGAACGTCCCTCTACCTGGGTTTGCCTCTTTGTAAACTGAGGAGAGTTCCAAGCATCCTTCGTGGGGTTGATGCCTGGTGGCGAGTCTGGCCCATGATAAAGGCCTCATACACGTCAGCCGCTATGATCACCTGCTGATCCCCACCATCCATGGACTCTTCCCAGCCATTTCCTTCCTTCTTCTCACCTGGGATACACAAGCCCCAGTGTGGCACACCCCTGCTCCTCCCACCCTCCCTTGGCCTCCCCTCCAGAATCCAGGAGGATCCTGACTTTCTCTGGTGCTCAGCCTATGGTCACTTCTATTTTTTCTTCTTCCTCCCCTGAGTCTGTGGCTCAGACTTTGATGTCAAGAGCTTCATGGTGCCTAGCTGGCTCGGTTGGTCGAACATGCAACGCTTGATCTCGGGGTTGTGAGTGCAAGCCCCACCTTGGATGTAGAGATTACTTAAAAATAAAATTTTTAGGGTGGCCCGGGTGGCACAGCAGTTTAGCGCCGCCTTCAGCCCAGGGAGTGATCTTGGAGACCCGGGATCGAGTCTCACATCGGGCTCCCTGCATGGAAACTGCTTCTCCCTCTGCCTGTGTCTCTGCCTCTCTCTCCCTGTGTCACTCATGAGTAAATAAATAAAATTTTAAAAAAATAATAAAAATAAAATTTTTAAAAGAAAAAAAAAGAGCTTTACAGAAAAAAGTCACCCTGAGTGATACAGAAAATGCGGGGTAAGACTTCCCCGGATATCCTGTGACCACACACTACCCTCCTTAACCCACCATTTTGGGTTTGAAAATGGACTTTGCTCCATTTTCCCAAACTCAACTTTGAACAAGATTCTGTTGTTGGGAGCCCATCAGCCTTTTCTGCTGTTTGTATCAGACATGGTACATGGAGAGGGTCTGGGGAGGATCTGATGGTCACAGACATTGAGGTTGGCTTTCTCTCCCACCGTCTCCCAGTGATCTCAATGAGAAAAGACTGGAAACCAGTCATGAACGGTGTTGCGGTTAAGAGTTGCCCCATTTAGCAAATTAAAATACAGGATACTCAGTTAAACTTGAATTTCATATAAATGATGAATAGTTTTTTAGGATAAGTATGTCCCATGCAGCAGTTGGGGCATACTTATACTAGAAACATGTCTGTTTATCTGAAATTCAAACTTAACTGGGCATCTGGAAATTTAATCTGGCAACTCCAGTGGCGGTAGGTGCTTCGGATTGCCCATCAACCTCCCTTCTTC